ATATATATATATATATATAAATACACAAAAACATATATATATATATATATATTTAATTTTATACTCTGACTAGCTGTACTATCAGGCAAGTTATTTAACATCTCAGTCTCATTTTCTTCATTTATAAAATGGCAGTGTCAGTACCTTCTTTATCAAGTTGTAAAAGATATTCACATTTTAAGCACTTGAACCTGTATCTGGTATATAATAAGCAAACAAATATTTGTTTTTAAAATAAATTGCTAACTTGATTGTCTTTGAAAAAATGGTGGTACTTTGGAAAGAAGAGAATGTAGCATTTTACTGTATTAATACTATAGTTGGGCTGGGATTGTGGCTCAGCGGTAGGGCACTCCCCTAGCATGGGCGGGACCCGGGTTCGATCCTCAGCACCACATTTAAAAAAAAAAAAAAAGAAAGAAAGAAAAGAAAGGCATTGTGTTGTGTCCATCTACACCTAAAAAATAAATATTTTTTTTTAAATTATAGTTATTATAATCTGTGATCTGGGGAACTGGGAGTATAGCTCCGAAGTAGAGTGCTTGCCTAGCATGAGGTCCTGGGGTCAATCTGCAGCACTGCAAAAATTTTAAAAATAAATAACCTGTGATTAGGACTATGATAGCTATTGATACCAAATCAAAAAATAGATTATGACTCCTGAATTATGTTATGCCTTCCTATTTAAGTGTAGGAAATTGTTGGAATCTGGAGAATAACATAACTATCTAAATAATCAAAATATTAAAATAAAGTTCTATGTAATTATTGTATCTTGCATTTCTTGTATTTATAGATTCTTATTTTTTCAGCTGGGAAACAAAGCTTTGTAGGTTTTTATTTTTCCAGTTTTTCTTCTGCTTCTCTGAAAATGAGCACTTAACTTGTTAACTACTACTTTTTCTAGAATAATGTTCCTTTCTTCTTTTTCTTTTTCAGTAAGATACATGTTTATTCAAACACAAGATACCCCAAACCCTAACAGCTTAAAGTTTATACCAGGAAAACCAGTTCTTGAGACAAGGACCATGGATTTTCCCACAGCAGCTACAGCATTTCGTTCTCCTCTGGCTAGGTATGTTACTGTTTTCATTTGCTTTTACCAAGCAACATAAATAGCTGACTTTGGGTTTAGACAGACTTATGTAATATTGCATTTTTAAGTGCTCTGCATTTTTCAATGCAGAGAATACTTTGTTCTCTTTTCAGGTAAGAGATGAAGAAAAGTAAGAGTTGATATTAGAAAACTTTCTCCTGAAGCGTGATATATTTGAGAGCTCTGTAGCATAAATAATTGAAAATTCATATTTTTACATAAGAAAAAAATCCCCCCTAATTGATAATTATGGTAAATTTCAATTCCAAATCTTTAAAACTCTGATTTTTTTCTTTTTCTTTTTTGTTTTTTGAAACTAAAAATTGAAACCAAGGGTGATTCGCCACTGAGCCACATCCTCAGTCCTTTGATAATTTTTTTAAATTTTGAGGCAGGGTTTTTCTAAGTTGCTTAGGGCCTCGATAAATTGCTGAAACTCGCTTTGGACCTATGATACTCCTGCTTCAAACTCCCAAGTCACTGCACCTCTGTGCCAAGCCCTAAAACTCTGATTTTTAAGAATAATGAAAACTTGCTTATTTTATTCATAAAACTTGCAAATTTCTACATGTTACAAGATGAAGTAGTTCTAAAATGATTCACTAGAAATTATAAATGATTGTAGTTACCAGATATGACATGATTTTTAAAAGTAGTCAGTGGGGATTATTTTAAAATTCATAAAAAGAACATGTTTAAATATGTTGTCAGAGATAATAACACAAATGACAAAATTGTTAGAATTATCCTCTTTTGAACTGATAGCTAGATAAATTAGTTATAATAAGAAATATTAGAGTCGGCTGGGGTTGTGGCTGAATGGTACAGCGCTTACCTGGCATGCGTGAGGCCCTGGATCAATCCTCAGCACCACATATAAATAAATAAAAGATCCAATGAAAGCTAAAAAAATATTAATTAAAAAAAAAGAAGTAGTAGAGTCAGTTATTAACAGTTGGAAATATTCTCCTTGGTGCTGGATATTGAACCCAGGGCCTTTGTGCACACCTCACTGAGGTACAACCCACCGCAGGTGAAATTTTTGATAACTTAATTCTGACACTGATTGCCAAGAATATTTGGAAAGTAAAGCTTTATAATCATTTTATATGTTTAATTTAACCAGTTAGAGATAAAGCTCAGAAATAGTATTTAAATTTCCAGTTAATAAATATTTACTTTCCTTTGACTCAAGCATACCACTTCTCAGAATATACATAAGAACATGTAATTTTCACATTTTCTTTTTTTGATATAAGGCACAGTTAGAAATATTTTACATTGTGAAGCAGTACATACACCTGTATGTGTCTGTTGTGTGTGTATGTGTGTGTGTGTGTGTGTGCACACATGGAATTTTTTATGGGATAATTTTTACTTTTTAAATTTTATAATAGGTAATATATTTTTATATTTCCTTTTAAAATTTTATTTTATCTATTTATTTTGCAGTACTGGGGATTGAATCTAGGAATGCTCTACCACCAACCTACATCCCCAGCCCTTTTTCCTTTTTTTTTCCCCCCTAATTTTTTGAGACAAGATAGCCTAGGCTATCTTGGAACTTGCAATTTTCCTACCTCAGCATCTTGAGTTGTTGGGGTTCCAAATGTATACCTTTGTACCCAGAATATTTTGTTTTATTTTATTATATAAAATAACAAAATCCCGATCACTACATAATTGATTTCACATTCACTACTGGGTTTGAAAAACCCTACCTTAGAGAACATTCATACTTGTACACAAGGTATGTGTAGCCTTGTGGTAATGGTGATAATTTGGAAACAGCCTAAATATTCATCATTAGGAAAAAACTAGGTAAACTTTTTCTATAGTCTGTACATATTAAAAAGGATGTAGGGGTGCTGGGGTTGTGGCTCAGAGGTAGAGTGCTTGCCTAACATGGGTGAGGCACTGCGTTCAATCCTCGGTACCACATAAAAATAAAATAAAATAAAGATATTGTGTCCACTTATAACTAAAAAATAAATTTAAAAAAGGAGGAGGAAGATCCATATTTATTTTCACAAAAAGACCCCTAAGATATAAATATTATTAAGGGAAGAAAGCAAGTTGTAGAACATGAGTACAGTGGAATAATATACATGTATATAAATGTATATTAAAATTAAAATTAAAAACCCACAAAATAACAAATGCATTGGCAGAAAGGTTAGGAAAAATGCATACCCAAAATGATAATAGAATTTGGGAGATGTGGTTGAGGGGCATTTTAACTTTATATGTGTTGTTTGAAATGTTTATATCAAGAATGAATTCTGCATATTGCTGAATCCCAGGTCTTCCTTCTCAAGGTCATCTTGTCTGTACTCCACTCAGCTCTTCCTCTCTGTGATCACAGTCTATCCCTAGACAAGGTCACATGATAACTTACAAGGTTTTCATTTACCAGGCTGTGATTACCCTTGAGCCCGCCCTCCAAGATCACCTTTTAATTGCATTTTCGATACTTCTAAAATTCTTTACTTACTCATGATTGATTTCTTGATCCTGCTCTATTATTTTGCTAGCTGATTTCTCAGAGGTCAATTTTATTTTCCTTCTCTTCAAATTAGGACCTGTACCCAGTGACTACAACACCCAACAAGAGAATAAAGAGTACAAAACAGGGCCTTGTGATCACCAGCCCAGGAGTCTTGAATAGTCTTAAAAAAAAAAAAAAAGAAGAAATTCACATATTTTGTATTTAAAAAATGCAAAGGTCGGGGCTGGGATTGTGGCTCAGCAGTAGAGCGCTCTCCTAGCACGGGCAGGACCTGGGTTTGATCCTCAGCACCACATAAAAATAAAGGCATTGTGTTGTGTCCATCTACATCTAAAAAAAAATAAATATTAAAAAAAATGCAAAGGTCTAAAGGTATAGGTCAATGGAAGAGCACTTGCCTAGCTTGTGCAAGGGCCACAAAAAAGAAAATAGCCTGTTTCCTGGATTCACAGAATTCATCTTCAGTCAAGTAAAACTAATCTTGTGGGCTGGAGATGTGGCTCAAGAAGTAATGCGCTCGCCTGGCCTTCAAGGGGCACTGGGTTTGATCCTCAGCACCACATAAAAATAAAATAAAGACGTTGTGTGTCCACCAAAAACTGAAAAATAAATATTAAAAAAACTTCTCTCTCTCTCTCTTTAAAAAAAAACAAACAAGAAAAAAAACTAATCTTGTGTTCTCTGTTGTTTCAGTAGGAAATGTTTTTGCTGACTGCTAGAATGTAAGCTTTTGAGGACAGGCCAGTTTGTCTTGCTCATCATTATCTCCCTAGTGCTGCATACAGTACATGTCATTTAGAGGTGTCCAAATATTTGCTGAATGAGTAAGTAGACTGATTCAAACAGTAGTATATCTTACTTCTGGAAGTCTTTTAAAGCCATTCTCATTTTTGTATATATCAGTAGTTCATTCCTCTTTATTGTCAGGTACTGCTACGTTATATGGATAAACCACAGTCCTTTTTATTCATTCACCAGTTGTTAATGAACATTTTCAGATTTTTTGGGAGAGAGGCTATTATAAATAAAGGTGCTATAAAGATTCACATACAAGTCTTAGTGGAGCATATGTTTTCATTTTTCTTGGATAAAAGGTGTAAAATTGTTGGATTGTAGGATAGAAAATGAAACACAATTGGACATGAGTTGATAATTATTGAAACTGGTGAAAAGTACATGGAGATTCTTTTACTTTTCTCTACTTTTGAATATGTTTAACTTTTTTCCTAATTGATTATTATCTCCCTCTCTCTCTTTTCTGTATTCACAGGCAATTATTTAGAATTGAAGGAGTAAAAAGTGTCTTCTTTGGACCAGATTTCATTACTGTCACAAAGGTATATAAAATAAGATTTATGTAGGGTTATTTTAAATAAGATTTGAAGTACTTTTAGTCTTTTCTGAGCTGATTCCCCTCTCCATAAATCCCATTCTTAATGTGTTTTACACATCCTATTATTAAAAATCTATTGCTGGGGCTGGGGATGTGGCTCAAGCGGTAGCGCACTCGCCTGGCATGCGTGCGACCCGGGTTCGATCCTCAGCACCACATACAAACAAAGATGTTGTGCCTGCCAAAAAACTAAAAAATAAATGTTAAAAAAAAATTCTCTCTCTCTCTCTCTCTCTCTCTCTCTCTCTCTGTCTCTCACTCTCTCTTTTAAAAAAAAAATCTATTGCTGTATGTATAAATGTGGCTGTATAACCAATGTGGTCCTGCAATCTGTACACCTGGAAAAATAAGAATTCATACCCCATTTGAATCAAATTATATGTCAAGATCATTGTATTGTCTTGAGCAACATTAAAAAAAAATCTCAAATGAGCTCGGTGTAGTGGCACATTGGCTGTAATCTCAGTGCTGGAGAGGCTGAGTGAGGCAGATCACAAATTCACAGCCAGGCTCAGAAACTTAGCAAGGTCCTGAGGAACTTAATGAGACCCTGTCTCAAAAATAAAAATTAGGACTGGGATGTAGCTCAGTTGTTAGAGTGCTTGCCTTGCATGCACAAGACCCTGGGTTCAATCCCCAGCAACTCTCTCTCTCTCTCACACACACACACACACACACACACACACACAAATAATAATAATAATAAATAAATATTTAAAAAGAGCTAGGGATGTGGCTTAGTAGTTAAGCACTCCTGGATTCAAGTCCTAGAATTTCCCGCCCCCCGCCCCCCAAAAAATTTCAAATGAAGTTTACATCTTACATTTCTCAATTATTTAAAAGAATTTTCAGATTGAAGTTAAGTATAGTCTAGATCTAATTATAATCCAGATGTCCAATTTTTCAAAAGAAAACTTGAGCCTCAACAGGTTAAATGCAGTGTCCAAGATTATACAGCTGCCTTATAGCAGGACTCAGTCTTGGCAAGATAGAATTTAGGCTTCCAGGTATTATTTTTACTAATTCTTACCTTACATTAGTAGAGTCAGAAGAGAAGCAAATACATAGATTTTAAAAAATAAAAAATTTCTTCATACAAGTTACACAAGTACATATTTTGTAAAAACAAATAAATTGTACATGCATATGTTAGATGCCAGGATATAAATGCCACTTTGAAAGGTGATATATATTCATTCATTCTGTTGATATATGAAACAAGTTACATATATGTGTGCATATGTACAATTCCACCATTCTTCAATAATACTTCAGAGTTTCATAGAACAATAGACTGTATAATTGTAGCACTTAATTAACCTCTAGATATCACAAAATTAAGCCAAATTTGCTACCCATTTCTAACTCATGCTAGAAAGGGCTATTCCATTAGTATGTCTACTAGGTTAATAGGAAATTAAATATTGAAATTTGGACAATATGTCCTTTTAAATCTGATAATTGATGTATGTATACTGCGCTGAATCACTTAACCTGATAGTATGTCAAAATTAAAAATATTGCTAAATTCTCCTTAAGCAATTTGAAAAGATTACTTTGGGTTTTTGTTTGTTTTTTTTTGTACTCAGTATTGAAGCCGGGGATATTTTACCACTGAGCCACATCCCCAGTCTTTTATTTTTTATTTTGAGACAGGTCTCACTAAGTTGTTGAGAGTCTCACTAAGTTGCTAAGGCTTGTCTTGAACTCCTCTCCTGTCTCAGCCTCCCAAGTCTCTGGGATTACAGAGTTGCACCATCAAGGACCTGGCTCTACTCCGAGTTCTTGATGTGCCTTGAATGTGAACATACCGAGTCCACTGTTCTCTTGTAGCTATTTGTGTATTAGGAGAAATATGATTTTCCTCCTTGGGAGCAATCCTAGTGGTTATGTGTATTCTTGCAAATATCCAATTGTAAAATGTTTTCATCTATAGTTTAAAATATTCTAAATTCCCAGAAAGCCCTTTTATGACCATCTTCAAGTGACATTCCAGGGGATTTCATGCACATTAGGCAAGAATTCTGCAACTGAGCTACACTCCCAGGCCCTGATCACTTTGCTGCCGATATTCTCATCACTGACTACACATTTACCTGGTATCTGCAGTGATCACCTGTTTTCCTTTCTGATTTGTAATTGATAATTCATAAGTTTCTTTACATATTATTTGCTATTTTTTCTGAATGTATATGTGTATTTGCAGCTTATATGCTACTTTTTTCTTATTCAGATAATTTCAGAATATTTTTCTTTTTAATACTAATATTTCTCTACTCAGTACAGCCTATTACTGAAGATCTTTGAGAACATTCTCTTCTATCTTCCAAATAATTCATTAAAATATAACCAAGAACTAGTTTATTTTCTCAACCACTGGACATCTCACTGTTTTTTTATTTTTTATTTTTTGGTACTAGGTATTGAACTCAGGGGCACTCTGCCACTGAGCCACATCCCTATCCCTATTTTGTATTTTATTTAGAGACAGGGTCTCACTGAGTTGCTGAGTACCTCGATTTTGCTGAGGCTGGCTTTGAAATCGTGATCCTCCTGTCTCAGTCTCCTGAACCGCTGGAATTATAGGTGTACACTACTGCACCTGGCCAATTTTATATTTACCATAGCTGCCAGTGTATTTTACCTTTTGTTTATTGTCTCTAAATTGATTCTTAATCCACAATAAATATAGCCCTTTTATCCTTTTTATCCCATATTGACTTAATTTTTAATAGTATTCAAGCATAGATTGTAGCTAACAGCATCCTAAGAGTTTAGACTACATTTAATAGGTTCTCCTAAGAGCTTTCCTTTAAAAAACTAGAACAGACCAGGTGTGGTCCACAGTCCTCTAATAAATAGCCATGGTTCTACAGTTACATCATTGCACTTCTTAAAGTACTCTTTAAGAACTACATTTAAATTGAAATGTTTGAGTAGTCATAAGATGTTCTGTATATTTGATGAGCAGATATATCATATTTTCCTTTTAAAGATAGAGAATTCATTCAGTGTTTTAATTCTTTTCGTACCATGAAAAATACTTTTTAATCATTTTAATCATTATCCCCTATGTAGTACAAGCACACTTAAAATTTTGATATGAATGATTATGGAATATCTTAAAATTGTGTCTTCCGAAAGTCACTTAAGTGAGACTTTAAAGAGGTAAAACTGATATGTGTTCTGCAGAAATCAGTGTTGCATATTTTAGGATGTAAATTGGAAAAGATTCTTGATACAAGGTAGTGTTCTGTATTTGTCTTTGCCCTTGCCTGAAAATGTAGCATTTTCCCTTACATGTTTATAGGAAAATGAAGAATTAGACTGGAATTTACTAAAACCAGATATTTATGCAACAATTATGGACTTCTTTGCATCTGGCTTACCCCTAGTTACTGAGGAAACATCTTCAGGAGAAGCAGGTAACATTACTTATGTTGAGTAATTAATATTTATCTGTTTTTAGACTTTCATTATTTTGTTCACATTTGCCTTGATTCAGAAGTGATAAGAATACAGATTTTTAAAAAAAATTTTTAAAGATGTTGATGGATCTTTATTTTATTTATTTATATGTGGTGCTGAGAATTGAACCCAGTACCTTGCACATGCTAGGCAAGTGTTCTACCACTGAGCCACAATCCCAGTCCCAGGAATACAGATTTTTATCATTTAATTTGTTTAGCTCTGCAACCAATATTACAGGGGACCAAATTTTATATGTTTTATTCATCATTTTTAAAAATTTGTGTTTAACTGAATCTATTATACAAAACTATAATTTTCAATTATAAAAATTTTGTACTCATAGAAAATAGTATAATGGTCATTCAGATTTAACAAATGTTAACTTTTTGTGTGTGTGTGTGATGCCAAGGAGCAAACAAATATTAACTTTTTGCCATTGTTGCTTGAGATCCATTTTAAAATAAGATATTTATAAAAATACAGCTAATGCCCTTAGACTCCCTCTCTTTTTCCTTCCAGATATGTGTGTATGGTTTGTTTTTATATTTTTACAACACACATAAGGCTGAAGGAAATATATAGTATTGTTGTTAGGTGGTTTTTAATATTTATTTTTTAGTTGTAGTTGGACACAGACCTTTATTTTATATGTGGTGCAGAGGATCAAATTCAAAGCCTTGAACATGCTAGGCAAGCCTCTACTGCTGAGCCACAACCCCAACCCCTATAGTATTGGTTTTTGATCTTAAACTATAAGTAACTTATGGTTTACTACAACTTGCCTATTTCGTAGAATATAATTTTTTTTTTTGTAATTTTTTATTGTGGGTTGTTCAAAACATTACAAATTTCTTGACATATCATATTCCACACTTTGATTCAAGTGGGTTATGAACTCCCACCTTCACCCCATACACAGATTGCAGAATCACATCAGTTACACATCCATTGATTTACAAATTGCCATACTAGTGTCTGTTGTGCTCCGCTGCCTTTCCCATCCTCCCCCCTCCCCCCTCCCCACCTCTCCCCTCCCCTCCCCTCCTCTCTCTCTACCTCCTCCACTGTATAACCCTGAGGGTCTCCTTCCATTACCATGCAATTTCCCTTCTCTCTCCCTTTCCCTCCCACCTCTCATCCCTGTTAAATGTTA